GAAATTTAGGAAGTAATACATATGATAATCATGAAAGTGATTTTAATTTTTTTATAAAAATGTTTTCTATGAAAATTTCACTCCAAGAAATTTAGGAAGTAATACATATGATAATCATGAAAGTGATTTTAATTTTTTTATAAAAATGTTTTCTATGAAAATTTCACTCCAAGAAATTTAGGAAGTAATACATATGATAATCATGAAAGTGATTTTAATTTTTTTATAAAAATGTTTTCTATGAAAATTTCACTCCAAGAAATTTAGGAAGTAATACATATGATAATCATGAAAGTGATTTTAATTTTTCTATAAAAATAGAATGAAATTGTTATATTGTTGCAACTTATTTGTCGTCTATAAATTGATTAATTGAATCTAGACTCTTGTCTATTCGATTATTGTAACTAGTAAAAAATTTATCATATATTATTATCCTATATGATTATCATATATGAATTTCAAATATTTAGTTATTATTAACCTGCTTACTAGTTCACGCAATGAATTTTAATTTTTTTGTGATATCTAATGTTATTTGAAAATTATGTATGAATTTTCAAACTTATTCTATTTTATCTTCGGTATATTAATAAAGTATATTATAACAATATTTTCATCAGTTTTTTCATCAATTACAATGATCGGACAGACAAAAATTCTAGATGCAATTAATCAATCTATAGGTGGCAAATAAGTTGCAACAATATAAAAATTTCATTTTATTTTTGTAGAAAAATCAAAGTCACTTTGGCTATTTTAAATAAAAATATATTTTTCATGCGTTATAAAAAAAGTGTCTAAAGAAATAAAAACAAATTAAATAGTGAAATTATGACATAAAAAATATAACATGAATTTATAACATGAAAAATATATAGTTATATTTAAAATAGCCAAAGTGACTTTGATTTTTTTACAAAAATAGAATGAAATTTTTATTGAACACAATTGAAAAACATGAAAACTCGTAATGTTTTAGTTTGTTTTAATAGTAGTAATCTGAGCAAAGACAGAAGATATGAGAATACTTGGAATATACTGTAATAATTTATATTAAGTGCTCTCTCCAATTATGTTCAAGATATAATAAGTTTGCCGTGTTTCTCACTGTTAAATACTAGTAAAAATAACATTTAGAGTTAGTACTGAATTTGTTTTGATCCTTTTTACAACAATATGAGTCTAAAAAAGATACTTTGATGACACACACATACATACATACACATACATACATTTGACGATTTATGTTTTACGAAAAAGAATGTTTTCTAAGTTTTTGCACTAATACATCTTATTACTATTTACAAACTGATTAATTGCATCTAGAATTTTTTTCTGTCTAATCATTGTAATTGAAGAAAAAATTATTGATACCGTTACGATGAAAACACTATATATCATTAAAATCATGTTACGTTATATTATAATATTTTTTTTGCTTATGTTACATTATATCATATTCTTTCCTTTTTTTATTGATAATGTATTAATTTATACATGTTACTCCAATGTAAGTTTGCAGAACTATACGTTATGTGTGGGTATCCAATTATTATGATTTATACTATTTTATTTTTTTATATAATCAAGATTATATAAATAAATGAAAAATTTTAATTTTCAGTGTTATACTACAAGAAAGTCTATTAGATTTGTAAGATTAGAAAAAAATACAATTATTTATCAACATTTAATCGATAATGTAGAAAATATCATTAATTGTTATCTACAAATAGATTGCTATTATCTATCAACTTCTTGATGATTATTTGTTTCAACTTCGAATATGTTATAATAAGAAATAAAACGAACAATTTCAAAAGTTGCTTCATTCGACTTTACGATTATTATCGGATTTTCTACTTATATCTTGAATATCTTCTATTTAATTTCAAATATCCAATTTCGGCAAACTCATTACTTTTTTCTGGCTATAATTTCTCGTCACTCAGTACATCCTTAATCCAGATAGATTGCGACAACACCGATAGCCGAGCTTTCTCCGGAAGCGAGTACTACACGGAAAAAAAAGTTTGGTTGAATTAACCAAATATCTGGTCGAATATGAACGATCCAAAAATTCCGATTAAAGTATCCCGAATTCTGTTTAAGTCAACCAAAAATTTTGTTAACTCAAACAGAAATCGGGATACTTCGATCGGAATTTCTGGATTGTTTATATTCAAGATATTTGATTAATTCAACCAACTTTTTTTTCCGTGTGGCTATGTGTAACGCATGGGAATATCACGTTGTATAGCGAGCAGTTATAATTACGTACGGATACAAGAACAATCAGTTCAATAGTTTCACGTATGTTCGGAGGACCATTAATTGGAGAACATGCGGAGACATAAGTGCATGTGACCTGAGCAATATACACATGCGTTGGACATGTATTCAGAAAATGAGCAACCAAGCCGGTTTTGAGAAGAAATCTCGACATCGCAAACTTGCAATATCTTGTCCCTCGTAAAGGTAAGAGTCCTGATATCAAAGAGAGGGAGAGAAAAGAAGATAACGGTGCGAGATTGTCATTTTGTTTACATTGAAAAACGTAATGAGACTTCGCTTGAATGAATAGAATATATGGATATATATGGATATATATATATATATATATATATATATATATATATATATATATATACAGGGTGTCCCGAAGTCCCATGATGACCCTTGGTGAGAACGTAGAACGGATTGAGGTGAGCAAGAAAGTCCTGTGCCATTTTGCGATATTCGCAATAGTTTTTGAGAAATTAATTATTTTGTCTCAACAAATCAGCGTACAGAAAGCGGCAGCGGAAAGAAAGATGCCTTCGGCCGACGTGCGACCGTGACACTCGCGAATCGTATCTCGCCGCATCCCTCCGCCCATAACTACGAGACATAGCGAGTCTA